TCTACAGTCTCACACACATCTACAGTCTCACACACATCTACACACTCACAACACCTACAATCTCACACACATCTACACACTCACAACATCTACAGTCTCACACACATCTACACACTCACACATCTACAGTCTCACACACATCTACACACTCACAACATCTACAGTCTCACACACATCTACAGTCTCACACACATCTACACACTCACAACATCTACAATCTCACACACATCTACAGTCTCACACACATCTACACACTCACAACATCTACAGTCTCACACACATCTACACACTCACACATCTACAGTCTCACACACATCTACACACTCACAACATCTACAGTCTCACACATCTACAGTCTCACACACATCTACACACTCACAACATCTACAGTCTCACACATCTACAGTCTCACACATCTAGTCTCACACACATCTACACACTCACACGTCTACAGTCTCACACATCTACAGTCTCCACAAATCTACAGTCTCACACACATCTACACGCTTACAACATCTACAGTCACACACACACATCTACAGTCTCTCACACATCTACAGTCTCACACACATCTACACACTCACACATCTACAGTCTCACACACATCTACACACTCACAACATCTACAGTCTCACACACATCTACAGTCTCACACATCTACAGTCTCACACATCTACACACTCACACACATCTACAGTCTCTCACACATCTACAGTCTCACACACATCTACACACTCACACATCTACAGTCTCACACACATCTACACACTCACACACATCTACAGTCTCACACATCTACAGTCTCACACACATCTACAGTCTCACACACACATCTACAGTCTCACACACACATCTACAGTCTCACACACATCTACACACTCACACATCTACAGTCTCACACACATCTACAAACTCACAACATCTACAGTCTCACACACATCTACAGTCTCACACACATCTACAGTCTCACACACATCTACACGCTTACAAAATCTACAGTCTCACACACATCTACACACTCACAACATCTACAGTCTCACACACATCTACAGTCTCACACACATCTACAGTCTCACACATCTACAGTCTCACACACATCTACACGCTTACATCTACAGTCTCACACACATCTACAGTCTCACACATCTACAGTCTCACACACACATCTACAGTCTCACACACACATCTACAGTCTCACACACATCTACAGTCTCACACACATCTACAGTCTCACACACATCTACAGTCTCACACTCACATCTACAGTCTCACACACATCTACACACTCACATCTACAGTCTCACACACATCTACACACTCACATCTACAGTCTCACACACATCTACACACTCACATCTACAGTCTCACACACATCTACACACTCACATCTACAGTCTCACACACATCTACACACTCACATCTACAGTCTCACACATCTACAGTCTCATACACATCTACAGTCTCACACACATCTACAGTCTCACACACATCTACAGTCTCACACAACATCTACAGTCTCACACTCACATCTACAGTCTCACACACATCTACAGTCTCACACAACATCTACAGTCTCACACTCACATCTACAGTCTCACACACATCTACAGTCTCACACACATCTACAGTCTCACACATCTACAGTCTCCGCACATCTACAGTCTCACACACATCTACACGCTTACAACATCTAGTCTCACACACATCTACAGTCTCACACATCTACAGTCTCACACACATCTACAGTCTCACACATCTACAGTCTCACACATCTACAGTCTCACACATCTACAGTCTCACACATCTACAGTCTCACACACATCTACAGTCTCACACACATCTACAGTCTCACACACATCTACAGTCTCACACTCACATCTACAGTCTCACACTCACATCTACAGTCTCACACACATCTACAGTCTCACACAACATCTACAGTCTCACACTCACATCTACAGTCTCACACTCACATCTACAGTCTCACACACATCTACAGTCTCACACATCTACAGTCTCACACACATCTACAGTCTCACACACACACACACACACACACACACACACACATCTACAGTCTCACACACACATCTACAGTCTCACACACATCTACACGCTTACAACATCTAGAGTCTCACACACATCTACACGCTTACAACATCTACAGTCTCACACACATCTACAGTCTCACACATCTACAGTCTCACACACATCTACAGTCTCACACACATCTACAGTCTCACACACACACACACACACACATCTACAGTCTCACACTCACATCTACAGTCTCCACACATCTACAGTCTCACACACATCTACACGCTTACAACATCTACAGTCTCTCACACATCTACAGTCTCACACACATCTACAGTCTCACACACATCTACAGTCTCACACAACATCTACAGTCTCACACTCACATCTACAGTCTCACACAACATCTACAGTCTCACACTCACATCTACAGTCTCACACACATCTACAGTCTCACACA